AAATTTTCGAATACGCTCCGAATACGGATACGTGTGGACGGTCGTATCCGCAAATTTTCGAATACGATGACGTAAACACGATTTTGCGCATGGTCATTAAGAAAAACTATCCGTCAAAGGTACTAGGCACTAGTGTGCATCAGGGCGGATCATGAAATTTCCGGATACGTGTGGACAGTGTGGACGGGGCCTGAATTTGCGTTTTTCAGTTTTGTGGCCCGTCAACTTGGATGCGCACGCAACCTTGAGAAAACGGTCTATTGATGACAGACGAATGAGGAGTGATTCGTGTTTTTTTTTTTGTCGTTCCTTGTAATTCGAAACACCGGCTACTATGTAAAAAACTTACTTGCCATAATTTTTTTATAAGAGCAATGGATAAAACAATGCTGTATTTCAAATTAAACTTAGCTGTGACCGTAATGTTTTGTATATTAAACGATTTTCAATACTCCATCTCTCAATCTATGGAATACTCTTAAATTCAAGGCAGATGTGCGGTCTGCTATTTTCGCATCCCCGGGAACCCCGGGAACCCAGGGGTAAAATTTCTGTCGCTTGTTTCTCGCTAGCCCCGGGGTTCCTGAGGAAGCTGTTACCGATCCATTGCTCAACGATATATCGGTGATTCAGCTGCTCTACTGGTTGTTTGATTGTTCGGGTCGGTTGCCTGGTCATTAGGGTAGTCGGTCGATTGGTTGGTCGGTCGGTCGGTCGTACAGTCAAACCACACAATTATTCTATTTTACGAGATAACTAATACACTAATACATATATTTTTCCTTACTCAAAGTCAGTCACTTCTTTCAGATCCTGTACAGGTGTAAACGGGCTTATTGATTTCTTTATTCCGAGTACACATGCCGTATCTGGAGAATCAGCTTGGATTGAACCTTAAAAAACAATAATAAAATAAAATGTAATGCTTCATGTAAAAGCCTTGGCTGGGTGGATTGCTCAACCACGATCTTCTAGTATACAGTAAGGGAAAAATGAAGAGGGCTGCAAAGCCTACCTCTTCATGTAAGAGCATTGGTTGGGAGGATTGCTCAACCAAGATCTTCTAGTTTACAGCAAGGGAAAAATGAAGAGGGCTGCAAAGCCTACCTCTTCATGTAAGAGCCTTGGTTGGGAGGATTCCTCAACCAAGATCTTCTAGTATACAGCAAGGGAAAAATGAAGAGGGCTGCAAAGCCTACCTCTTCATGTAAGAGCATTGGTTGGGAGGATTGCTCAACCAAGATCTTCTAGTATACAGTTAGGGAAAAATGAAGAGGGCAGCAATGATTACCACCTTGGAGTTTTAGGGGGGAGGAAGGAGGGTCAAATTCTAGCACCTACTACCTTTCAATCTGATGGGAGTAGGGGTCAAAAACTGGGATCTTCTACAATGAGGGTAAGATGAAGAGGGCAGCAAAGCCTACCAACTTTGAGTATAAGGGGGAGGAGGGATGGCCAAAGCGTAGGATGAAGAGAGCAGCAAAGCCTACAAGTTTTTTKGGGGGGGGGAAGGAGGGTCAGAACCTACGGTTTTCTAGTATGGGGGAGGGTGGAATCTTCCACTTTGTCTTGGGGGAGAGCTAGGGGTAGCAGCAAAGCCTACCATTTTCCAGTCGGCATTCACGAATTTTCTCCAGAATCCAGTCTACAGCAATGGTGGCCTGTCTAGTTGCTTGGATTCGGTCAAAAGGTGATGGCTGACCTCCCTAGAAAACAATTCATTTAAGTTTTTAAAACAACCACACACTTTTCTACTAATATTAAGATCTTAGTACAATTGTTCTTAGTGATCCCTCCACCCACCCCCGGATATATGAATTTCTATTTGATTTTCAATATTTACATGAATATGTTTGCCAAAATCACTTGGAAAGCTTTACAAACATAACCCAACTCACCTCCATGGTAGAGCCAATTATTGTATACCCCCCCCCCCCCCATCCTTCATGTGCTAATAAATGAAAGCCCCCTAAGCTACAGTAACAGTTCCTCAAGCCTAAACTTACTTGTTGTACATGACCCAGCACATTCTGCCTGGTTGAAAACACCCCTTCTCCTTCTTCGCTGAAGAGTTTAGTAATAAAATCTGCCGTATAGTTTTTGTTACACATTTCATTTCTGGAGAACAAAAATAGAAATTTGACAGGTCAACCGGATGAAGGTTATCAGAAGCTGAGTTAAGGTCTTTGAGTCAAAGAAATTTCGACTTGCATAAATAGCACAAAAAATGAAATATGATGAGAAAGCATCTTAATATTAGTTAGTCTGGCAAATTTGAATGTGTTTTGACAAAATGAAATAGAGTTAAGGTAAAAGACAAACGGAGCAACATTGCATGCAACAGGATTGTTGCAGCGTAGGTCTACCCCTGAAACTTGTTGCATGCAACAGATTTAAAGTTTAATCGCGCTCTACTCTTGGAATATTGCGAGCAACAAATTTCATCGTGTGAACATGGCTGCGACACTGCGTGCAACATTTTGAAATTTCCAGCCAATCAGCTTGCACTAAATTTATAACTGCTGACCAAATATCTTAGCATAGCACGCTGACACAAGCGATGTTGCATAATTTTGTTGCAATGTGTGTTACCCCGATTCAAATTTGTTGCTTGCAATGTTGCGTGCAATGTTTTACCGTGTGTCAGCACCTTTACATGTGCAAACCTTCGAAAGCATAGATATGGCCAATGCCTGAATACATGATTAAGATTAGGCTTTTAAAACTGGTAAATTATTGGCTAATGTACAAAAATAGAGTCAGACAAAGAGTTCCATTGATAATACAGTTCTTAGATAGCAAGATATTTGTTAGATAACGACTACAGCTACTTAATAGCGCAGCGCACTGATTCTAAAAATAGCTTAAAGATTCGGACAAACATTGCATTCTGTTTAACCGCTACGAGGATTATACGAACCGATTTTATTATTTTTACTTAAAGTTACAATRATAACCCATGTAAACTAAGATCAACTGCGATCGGCTGTGAAAATTATCTGCTGAAAGTAAACTTGTAAGTTTGTTTGTCCGAATTTCGCTTTTGTCTTCGTTTTTATGACGTCACGGTTGCGCTGCGCTATTTGATCAACTTGATCAACTTGAAGGTTTTTTTGAGACCCTATGAGAATGTTCAAGTCGAAATGACCCTTTTGTTCACATCAGTGGAATCTCAATAATTTTGACATATATCTAAGATAATGAAGGAAAGTATAGATCTATCGTCTTTCTCACCTAAGAACAAGGCCTCGACGAATCTTGCCTTTCATCTTCGATTTCAAATGAGTAACATCATTCTGAAGACAAGTGCAAGAGGACCCAATGAATTACTCAGACAGTGAGACACGCTAGAAGACTGTCTGTCTGTCTGTTTGTACTTTGTTTCCATTAATCAAGATAATCTAGTTTTACAATTTAATGAAGTTGAAAATTTGCGTGTGATGGAAATGTAAGTAATTGACATTTAATCCAATATGATTATGCATTTAAAATGGTACCGGACGAATTGTTAACCGGTTGAAATGTTGTACGTTTAGGGGTTCCGTTCACACAAGACTGAGCTATCCGAACCAAAATTCGTACGTCTAGCCATGCAAATTTGGATCTAGTTCCGCGTAAACAGAACATATTTTTTATATAATTAAAGAGACAGTTCCATGTAAACAGTATGTAAATTCGTCCGGTACCATGTAAACGCCGCCTTAGGCCCCGTCCACACGTATCTGGAAGTTTTTGTATCCGTATCCGGAAATTTTCAAAAACGRTCTCCAGAGTGGAAATTTTCGAATACGCTCCGAATACGGATACGTGTGGACGGTCGTATCCGCAAATTTTCGAATACGCTCCGAATACGGATACGTGTGGACGGTCGTATCCGCAAATTTTCGAATACGCTCCGAATACGGATACGTGTGGACGGTCGTATCCGCAAATTTTCGAATACGATGACGTAAACACGATTTTGAGCATGGTCAAGAAGAAAAACTATCCGTCAAATGGACTACGCACTAGCGTGCATCAGGGCGGATCAAGAAATTTCCGGATACGTGTGGACAGTGAAAACGATTCGAAAACGATTTGAATACGCTGCGCGTGGACGCGAACATTTTCGTGTCCACAAAAAAAAAATTTGCGGATACAAAAATTTGCGGATACAAAAATTTGCGGATACAAAAATTTGCGGATACAAAAATTTGCGGATACAAAAATTTGCGGATACAAAAATTTGCGGGTACAAAAATTTGCGGGTACAAAAATTTGCGGATACAAAAATTTGCGGGTACAAAAATTTGCGGGTACAAAAATTTGCGGATACGTGTGGACAGTGAAAACGATTCGAAAACGATTTGAATACGCTGCGCGTGGACGCGAACATTTTCGTATCCGCAAAAAACAATTTGCGGATACAAAAATTTGCGGATACGTGTGGACGGGTAATTTTCCTTTTTGATGTTGGAAGGAACAAATGTAAGATTCCCGATGAAATGCCATATTTTTAAAAACCAATAAAATTAATAATAGCCTATAGGTATCAATGTTATTGTTACCAACAAATCCTGCAGAGTGAAGTTCTCTTCGAAGATATAAGCTGCATCAGCACCACTAGCTAGGGCACCCATAGTCGCTAGGTAACCACAGTACCCTCCCATACACTCGACCACAAAGACTCTCTTGAAAGAACTAAGGGCTGACATCTTGATTTGGTCACAGATCTAAAGAAAAATCAATTTGGCAATCAATATCTTCAATACATGTAAATACATGTAAGAGTTATATTAGTTAGTACAGTACATTATACACCGCCACATTTTGTAACAAGCCCATGTCTAAATAAAGTTATGCGCCTGATATAAGACTCACCTCTACTATGACATTAAGTGCGGTATCTGCACCTATACACAGGTCTGTACCAGGTACATGATACCTGATATAAGACTTACCTCTACTATGATATTAAGTGCAGTATCTGCACCTATACACAGGTCTGTACCAGGTACATTATACCTGATATAAGACTCACCTCTACTATGACATTAAGTGCAGTATCTGCACCTATACACAGGTCTGTACCAGGTACATTATNTACCAGGTACATTATACCTGATATAAGACTCACCTCTACTATGACATTAAGTGCAGTATCTGCACCTATACACAGGTCTGTACCAGGTACATTATTGCTGATTACAGCAGGGATGACTACTATAGGAATACAACATTCAGGATGCTTGTCACGTGCTTCTGCCATCTCCAAACACGTTTTAAACGCCTAAGCAAGGAATAAAATGAAAGTCGGTAAATTAAAAAGCCTTTTAACAAACCTTTTTTGCTTGTTTGTTTGAACAATGTCTGACCATTTTAAATCTGACCTTGGGGTCGGGATCTTAAAGGTCATAACTGCTGCGATCGTTCTCATTACTTGACCAAACGATTAGGAGAATGGACTACTAATAATTAATGTCCGTCCCCTTAGGTAGGCAATTTTAGGTATATTACAGGTTGAGAGCAAAAAGTTAACAAAAGGACAATTCCGTTTGTGTATTTCACTCTCTCGATAATCAAGAAATGGCATTCCAACCTTTTTTCATTCATAACGTTGACATGAAAAAAACAGCCAAAGAAAAAACTGGGCATAGTAAAACGTGCTTGACTTCTAAATTCATTTTGAGATCCATTCAAATATATAAAACATAATGTACCTCAAATCCACCAACAATGAGTATACCCTTGATGTCATACTTCTCCAACTGTCTTGCTACAGCAGCCATATCAGATGAAGCAGTAGTTCTGTAAAGGAATATATTAATTATTAAGCATATCTTTTTCCTGGTCGTCCCATATATGCATTTAAATTTTACTCGCCAAACAAGGTCATACATACACCTAGTTCAAAATACGTTATCATCGCCAAAGGCGATAGGCGATAGGTCATTCCGACATGGAAATGGTTTCTTTGAATACAAAGAACATCGGATAAGTCTAAGCACGAAAGTCCACATTCTTGACGAGAATAAGAAGCAGAAACACAAGTCATTCCAGCTTTTCTTGGATCTTGGAATGACATATATCCTATAGCTTTTTGCCTATTGTCTATTGCCTATCGCCTTTGGCGATGACAACGTTTTTTAATTTAGGTGTATACAGCTATATATATATATATATATAAATGAAGGTTCTGCTCAATGTCACGACCAATTTGAATAACTACTGTTCTGGACTAACATGCCTCTCTTACATGTGCTAGTCAGTCCAGAGCAATTGTTATTTAAATTGGTTGCCATATTGGGATTCGGTCTATACTGCAGCTTAGTGGCTTGGTGATTTTGACCTCATTGTAAGGGTGTACAGTACAGTATGTGGGTGATAATAAATACCTTGTAGTTCCCAGTTTGGCACCCCCTTCATCAGACCAACCATCCACATCAAGCCAGCCTATTTTTTGGACCTAAAACAGAGATTTTGCAATCACATTTTCACAATGTGTGTATCTGCTAATGTATATACAAATATTGCACTGTGCCACAGATGAGACAGTGTTTTCAGGTTTAACCAGTAGGACTTAGATAGATGTCATGATATTGTATCAATATATAACATGCTGTACAGCAAGGTTCTGGTACTACCCTAGATCAAGAAAGCATAAATAAGATAGGAAAACTTAATAACGTCCGCGCCATGTAAATTTCCAGTTGGGCTATTTTTAGTAACCGGATGCAATTTAAATTTCCCCTTACCCTACTCCCGTGCGTCATCAGCTTGTGCGCACTGCTCTTTCCATTTATTGTTTTGATGGCGTTTTGATCAGTGAAAACGAAACAGAAAAAGCGATTGCACGCAAGTTGATGATGCACGGGAGTAGGGTAAGGCGAAATGTAAACTTTATCCAGTTACTAAAAATAGTCGAAACGAGAATTTGGCGCGATTATTATTAAGAAGTTTCCCTCTCTTACTTACGCTCTCTTGCCTAGATTTGTTAAGAACTATTGTACTAGTTTGATGTTTTTGCAAAAAGTCTAAAGCTTGGTTATCATTAGCAAGGAAAGTTGAAACAAGCATAAGCACAACAAGTGATAGCAAAAAAAAACGTACTTGATTCTTTTCATAGTGATCGACAATATAACATCTAGTTGCATCTACTTGTGTTGGCTTACTTCACTAGTGAGAACCAGACTTAATGGACCTATAGGGTTACGGTTACAGACTACATGTGCATGTTATTCCCTTGAGTTGTTTTATCTATTGCTGGTCAATTTTCGCAAGCTTCATGACATATCAGTTTTGCATTGGAGTATTTCAGATCAGAAGGAAGTAGTCTGGAATGGGGAACATTACAACCAAGAAATAATGGTCCCTTATTTAATCAGTTTAATCAGTGACTGTTGTAAGGATGTTACCTGCCCTGCTAGTAATCCATCAATACCATCTTTTACACCAAGTACTTCATGACCTTCATAAAGAGCACCTCTGACAAAAGCCCTAACAGCTGCATTCATCCCTCCTGCAGGAGCCCCAATGTTCATGACTGCTAATTTGTAATCCTTCTGCTGTAACCAAGATACTTAATATTAACATCATCACCACATCGAAAATGCACTATTCTCGCAATGGCTGATGAGTGCACAAAAATGAGGCCACCTTGCAAGGCTCCTCTTTCAAAATAATGGTGAATAGCGCAAATTCAGGTCAAAATGAAATTGTAATTTTCTATAGTATCTTAGGTTGTCTAATACTGCATGTAGTTAGCCCTTATTGTTATTAAGACAACCTGTACAAGTAAATATCGTAACTTCTTATATTGTTAAACATATAGAGTATATACACGTACAAGGTGCAAATATTATTATCATCATTATAATTTATCATTATCATCATCTATCATGATCATGCATCACCATCATCATCATCATCATCAT